GTGCTGTCAGGGGACATGGGCAAGGCTGGCCCTGCTCTAGGGTTGCCTGGGAAGTGTGGAGCAAAGGTGGTATTTAACTATGTCTGGAAGCCTCAGGTGATCCTGTCATGCAACTAAATGCAAACATAGCCTGGATGGGAGCTGTGTAACTTTTGTCCCTTGGCACAAAGGCCAGTGCAGGCCGTGTGTGCTGCAAGTTTTGTGGGACAGACTGACCAGGAATGGGCGGTAAAATGATGCCTCCAGGCATGGTCACAAGGAGCTGGCACAAGTGGATTTTTTTATTATTTTACTGTGGCTGTTGTGTTTAGGGAGTTAGGTGTGACTTCAGTTGAAATGTTGATATTTGCTTTGCTCTCAGGACTAAAATGACTTGTGGGTGTTTATTTTCTTCTCCCTTACGTGGAGCTGAAGCATGAAGGGAGTGAAGGATATTTTGTGGGGTAACACAGACCCTTCCCTTACCTGTCTGGAAGGAGCTGCCTCTGCTGGAAGCTCATGTAACTTCTAATAAGGTTTTTTAATGCTTATACAGATGGGAAGATAGAGCAGTCTTTTCCTGTTGTCACTGCACTCCTCCCTGCTGTGGAGATCAGCTCTGTTTGGGTGTTTTACCCTGATTTGAGCTGCCCTGTTCCCAGTGCTCTGTGGCTCCTCTGCTCTTGGGGGAGCAGATGTTGGGGCATCAAGGGGGTGAGCTCACTCCTACCCCCTGCTCTTTCACATGCTTGGTGTGATCTTTAAAACCTTCCTGCTTTGTGGGCTCCTGCAAGAGCTGGGTGGAATATGGAAATCCCCTCTCATGGGCTCTGTGGTTTGCAGGGCTCTGCATCCTTGCAGCTGCTCGTGTTGTTCAGGAGCCCTTCCTGATTATGCTGTGTGTTGTGGTGACACCTGTCTGTGACAGCACGGGGGTTGGGGAGGACGTTTTATTTTGTGGCTATTTTATTTTCTGTTTTGCTGCTTGCTGCAGTGAGATGAGGTGATGATCCGTACCCTGACCCTGAGTGCAGAGCCTGAGAAGCCCTGGGCACACCTTGCACCCACCTGTCCCTGCAGGGCACACAGGGTTAACAGGTCTGTGCCTCTGCCACCCCCCAGGCTGGCCCAGCTCCATGTGCCTTTGTCTAGGAAAGGTTGACTTTCACCTTGTTCCTGTTTACTCCCAGGTTTATGTACACAGTGCTGGGAAGGGAGGCCAGGAGCGAGCGCTGGGTCTCCATGCCAAAATTATAAACTTGATAAAGGGCTCTGTACACTGTGAGTACCCTGCAGGTCTGACTCCCTGTGCAGCTTGCTGGCTGTGACCCTTCAAAAGAGCTTTTAATGAACTCTGTGTTTGATCAGAGGCAAGGGACAGCTGTAAAAGCCAGTTCCATGTTTGGAAAACTTTGTTTCTGCCCCAAAACACCATTTGGGTTTTTTCAAAAGGGTTGCAAAGGCTGTGGTGAGGACATGTAGGCTGGGGCAGGTGAGCTGCCTGGGTTTGTTATTTCCCAGGACTTGCCAGGGGCTGGGGAAATTCACACATTGCACAGAAACTTTGCTCAGTGCCTCAATAAATAGCAGATTTTGTTTTGAGAAGAGGTGAGTGGTGCTCTGGGGCTGCAAGGGAAAACCCCAGCAGCATGAAATGGGGTAGGATGGGGTAGGGATGGAGCACAGCAGGGCTGCCTGGGCTCCCAGGGCTGCCTGGGCTCCCTGTGCCTCCACTGAGCAAAGAGTGTCTGCCCTCATCCACTAGTGCAGCCTGTCTCAAACATCAGCCCTCTGTGCCCAGCTTTTCCAGGAATGGCTCTCACAGTTCACGTGCCTGACGTGCTGGCTGTCTGGTAGGGAATAAACTCTTATTTATTTATTTATTTATTTGTGCCACTGGCAGGCAGGAAAAGCTTCATCTGTTTAATCTCCCTTTGTGCTTACTGGGGATAAAGCTGCTTAACATGAGGAAGAAATCCTTGAACTGGACTCCTGCAGGGAAGGTTGATTCCTGTACAGACCCCTCCTGGAGAGGAGCACATTGACTGTAGGACTGCACTTCAGCTGCCAGGGTGAGGTGGGGCCGCACAGGCTGGATTCCAGTGCAGGACAGCAGGTGGGGAAGGCAGGCTCAGAGCTGGCAGCTGCAGGAGGTGTTCAGCTGGATGTGCCAGGGGTGACTTGGCAAGGGCTGACCATCCTCCTGTGGTCATTTGGAGCTTTTCCCACATCCTGCAAGCCAGAGGATGTACAGACACCTTCTGTGGTGCACCAGGCAGCAGAGCTGCAGGGAGCACTGTGTGCTCTTGGAAAGGGATGTGCTTCTTTAAACAACCCTCCAGGGAGCTCTTATGTGGCACTTGGGAATGCCCAGAGCTGTGAGGGTGCCTGTGTGTGCCCTCTCACAGGTGTGTATGTGAGGAATGTGCCTGGGCTGCACTGCCGTGTTAACCCTTCCCAGCCTGCCGTGCCCCAGCTCCCAGGCAGGGCTGCTTCCTAGAAGGACCTGCCTTTAAACCTGGAGAGTAATTGTGCAGGTGCCCAGCAGCCCTTGGACTTCCCTGTTGGATGAACCTGTCGTGTGAGGCCACTGCCCACAAGAAAAGTTTCCTGCATGGTTTGAGGAGTTCTTGCGGCCTCCAGGAACTTCCCCATCCTTGCTCAAGAGGATGATGAAGAATGAGCTCAGGGAACGCTCCCATTTAATCTTATTTATGCTTGTGAGTCAGTAATTTCCTTGTTATGTGCCCTGCCGGTAAACACTGTCTGTGCTGATTTAAATAGGGGTTTTTGATAGGCAGCCCACAGCGTGCACTAATCACTGTGGCTGTGTGCCACCACTCAGCTCGTGGCTGGGCTGATCTGATAAGGCCACTGGGCTGTCCAGCCACCCCAGGGCTTAAACCTGGCTTTTCTTGAGCTGCCCTTGTTGGACATTGCTGGCTGTGACTCATGGTGAAGTACAGGGTGAGCTGGCACTGGGGTGTGGCTCTGCCCAGCTCTTGCCAACACCAATCTGTGCCTGGTGCAGGGCTTTTGGGATCTGCAGCAGATGTGCTCCCCAGCCCCAGGAATTGAGTTCTTCCTGCCCCTCCGTGAAGTGGCCAGAAGCTGCCCTGGGAGCAGCTACTGCCTGCTGGCAGCAGCTTCCACTGCAGGGCTGGCTGAGGCTGGGTTTCACATATCTTGAAATTAATTTGCCTTGGAGCAAGTGATCCATAACGGCAGGAATGCCTGATTCCAGGCTGGGAGAGGATTCCTTCCAAGCTGCCTTTGCTCCCAGCCCCCTTCCCAGCACCTAGTGCCAGGCTTGGCATAGCAGGGAGAGAGGGTCTGGCCTCAGCACTTCATGCCCTCTGGGCTGTTCATCTGCTTGTCCTGTAGAGGGGTTGCTGGGGAAACCAAAAATGCCTCAATAAGCAAGGAAAAGCACATCCAGTGCTGCTGCTGCTCCTGGTGCAAACTGAGAAACATCTTGTGCTTGTTTGTGACCAGCCCTGTGTGCCAGTGGGCAGGGGGATGGGGCTGGAATCAGGGCTGTGGGCAGGGGATGGGGCTGGAATCAGGGCTGTGGGCAGGGGGATGGGGCTGGGATCAGGGCTGTGGGCAGGGGGATGGGGCTGGGATCAGGGCTGTGGGCAGGGGGATGGGGATGGGGCTGTGGGCAGGGGAGTGGGGCTGGAATCAGTGCTGTGAGCAGAGGAAGCTGACACATGGCTCGTGGCTAATTGTTTGCCTTGGTTAGGGATCAATAGCGGATGTCATTCATCACCTCTGGGCCGTGGGATGGGCCACACCTGGCCAGGTGAGCAGGGGGTGACCCCAGGGCTCTGTGGTGCTGCCATCCAGCTCTGAGTGTCCCCACCAGTGTCTGATCCTCCTCACCCAAGTGAGGCTGTAGCCTGGAAATCTTGCATTGAGAAAAACCCTCATGGAATGCTCTTCTGGCTGGACAAAACCTTTGTCAGGGCTCCCCAAGCTGTCCTGTGAGGCCAGCACAGAAGAATGTTGTCAGCTTAGCCCCCAGCTAAGGGACCTGTCCATCTGCATTATGCCTCTGGCCTGGGGCAAGGGGCTGAGCCCCCTCCTTGGTGGTGATTTCATGGCTCTGGAAGCATCTGCAGTCTGTGGGGTGGTGTTGAGCAACCCCAGAGCTCATACCTGTGGTACCCTCACTGGCCTGGCCCCAGGGCTGTGGGGTGAGGAGGGATACTTCTGGGGAGTTGCATAACTTTGGTGAGGGCAGGAGACTGGGGCTTGTGGCTCCTTGAAGGTCCAAGTGCAAATGAGCTCTGGTGTGCAAATTGCCCTTGTGGGCAAACAGCTGATATCTGGGAGGCTCTCCAGCTTTCCTGCTGTGACTGCACTCCTTAGGCCTTTGGATCCTGGAGGTGTTTTATGGGTTTGTTTGTTTACATGCTTTTAAAGGAGGTGATGCTGGGGAAGCTGTTCCTTCAGGCAGGTCATTATTGATAGCAGTGCTCTTGAACTCGGCCTGTATTGCACTGCAGTTCAGCTGAACTCACAGAGCAGCTTTTAACCCTTGGCTGATCAAATAGCCTTGTTCTCCTATAAAGAGTGAGGAATTGCTTTGGCATGAAGCTTTAGTTCTATGCAAAAAACTGCCCTATACCCATCAGGCTTTTCTCCTGGGAATTACAATTCCCTCCTAACTCTCCCTTATCACAAGCTGAAGATGCTGCTGTTCCAAATGCTTTGCCACAAACTCCTGACCAAGATCCTGTTGTGATATTTTCACCCTGTGTGTTTGGGTGAACCTCTTCAATGTGTAGCCCTCAGGAAATTCCCCTCCCAGCCTGGCTCTCACTTCTGTTCTGAGAAATTCTAGGGAAATTCAGCTGATAAAAGATAATGCTTTTTATGGAGAGGAAATTCAGCATTTAATGTTTTTTTTTTCTGGTGGAAGTGATATGCTCAGGCTCTGAACCTTCTGTGAAATGCTTCTGGAGTGTTGTTTCATATTTAACATGTCTTTAACATGTCTCCACCCCCATTTACAGGTGAGGGAAACTGAAACCATGGATGCTGGATGGCTGGACTACCCTGCCTCTGGGGACCTGCCAGATGATGAAGACATTGGTGAATTCAGGCCTCACTTACCCTCTGATGGGTTAGATATAGATGAGACATCTGGGTCAGGAGGTGAGTGGGGAAGTGGATCTCCCTCAGCAGCTGCTGTGGAATTTCTTTCAGCACCAGCCCTTGAGTGATGGGCTAAATCACAGCCAGAGCTGCAGAGACAGCACAGTGCCAGGTGGAGATGAAAACTGTGACTCCAATCACTCAGATGAGAACAGTGAGAGTTGTGGTGCTGTGATGTTGAATCACTCAGGGAGGACAGATGGAGTCCAGCCAAGCTTGTCTAGCTGCAAATCAAAAAGCCTTGTGCTGGCTGGATCTTTTTCCTGTTGAACTCCAAAGAACTGCTGAGAAACTTAAAAAAAAAATAAATCTATTGTTGAGGCAGTGTTAAAAGGCTTAAAGTTAATGTCTCAGTTGAGGCCAAACAAGGTAAAGGAGTAACTGGTGCTCAAGTGAACTCTCTGTGACATGCAAAGCTCCCTGCCCAAACCAGTTTCTGTAGCTCTGTGTCCCTTTATGTGAACATTTGTTCTCTAAAAGCAAAAGAACAAATGCTGCAGTTGGTGCCTGGCGTGTCTGGGCAGATCTGGAGGGCTGGTGGAGGATCCTGTAGGGGTGGGTGGTGGGAGCAGTGCCCTCCATTGGCATTACCTGGGGAGCTGTGGCAGACCTGCTCTGCAGGGCCAATGGCACCAGCCTCAGTTCCCTCCCGGTGGAGAGGTGCTGGCTTCAAGATTATGTCTCCTGGTCTTGTGCAATCCAAGCCATTCAGTGATCAATAGTGCTAGGAGATAAGGGGGAATTGTAGAGGACAAGAGTCCTAATAGGTGCAGTTGCTGGTATTGCAGGAAGCGTCTGAATCCTGTAAAAACAGCATGTAATGAGGCAAAACCTTGAGAGCCCTTTCTAATTTTTTTGCCCCTTCTGCAGACTACCCAGACTCTGAAGATGGCTTGTATCTGACCACCATGGATACCCCTCTGGTAGGTATTACTCAGTGTGTCTTTAACCAGCATGTAGCTCCTCTGGTGTCTGTGAAACCTTCTGAGCACCCTCCTGCCCTGCAGGATGTGGCATCAAGACAAATCCACCTGCATGAGCAGGCACAGAGTGTTTGTAATGCACTGAGCAAACTTTGCATTCCCTGCACACCCTCCTGGTTTCAGCTGTGGGCAGGCTGGGTGCTGCTTGCTGATGGGTGTGGTTTGTCTGTGTTCTCTAGCTATCTGACAACTCTATCCCTGGAGATACTGGCAGAAAGATAGAAGGTGAGAAGGAAAACACAATGGTGGACAATGAAATCATTCCAGACAAAGCTGTACCTCTGGAGGAGAACCTGTCCAACAAGATCTCCATGGCAAGCACAGCCAACAGCAGCATCTTTGAGAGAACAGAAGTCCTTACAGGTAATACTCCACCTTGAACTGGTAAATCATTAATAATGAAAATCAGAATGGCTTCTGTTGTTCCCTGTTTCTCTGGGGAGCAGCTCCCTGGGGAATGAGCTGCTTTACCATGAGTGCTGCCTGCAGCAGGGTGGCTCTGCCTCCCAGAGCCTGCTGCTGCCTTTGCTGGGATAAACAGCTCATTTTTGAGCCTGCCAGCTGACTGCTGGCTTGACTCACGTGGCAGCTGCTCTGCACCCAGGTACTGCCTCTACAAGAGCTGTCTCTGGCCATAAAGCAGTGACATCAGTTTCATATCAAACACAGGCATTTTCCTTCCAACCTCTGCCCAAGTTCTGCCTTTTCTGGGCTTTGCCAGGAGCTGAGCAGCCCCTCTAAGGGGTTCCAGCTGTAGGAATCTGAGTACCAATGTCCAGAGCAAAACCAAGTGAGTGCCTTTTCCTCAGTGTGTGGGACAGGTGTGTCCCCAGCACATTGCTGCTTCAAGCACTTGGCCTGATGGGCCAGGTACAAACCCAAACCCTTTGTGCTGATCTGCAGCCATCATCCCAGTCAGAGAAGAGAGAGGAAGAGTGAATTGCAAAACCATTTAGCAAAGAGGCTGATTTAGTGCAAGCAATAGGTGTCACAACAAGGAATACACTTCAGTGACTGTTGTGGCCATGCTTAGTGTGAGGAGAGAGGAAATCTTGGTGGTGTTTTGCAGGTTTGTGGGTTTTGGTTGTTGAGGTTTTCTGATTTTTTTTTTCCCTTTTTTTGAGGGAAGTGGTGTTGGTAATTGGGTGTTGATGAATTGAAATACAGTTCCCAGGGTGTGCTCAAACAGGTTGTTAACAAAGCAGTCAGATTGGAGCTGGACCATTTTTCTGTGGGTTGTGGTGGGGCTTTTTTGGGTGGTGGGTTTTTTTTTGTTTGTTGGGGGTTTTTTTTGTTTGTTTTTTGTTTGCTTTTTTTTTGTGCTCTTTTTGAGGTTTTTTTTGTTTTTTTTTGTTTGTTTGGTTATTTTTGGGGGGGTTGGTTTTTTTTTTTTTTTTTTTTTTTTTTTGTTCTGTGTCTATACAGGGAGAACATCTTTTGTCAACATTTATTTTTTGGACTGAACTGGAAGATTAGCTCAAACTGGTTAATGTGGAACATGTGATTATTCTGTGGCTGGACTGGGAGCCATCCTGGCCTTCCCCAGTAACATCTGCTGTTGCAGACGGTGCCAGCACAGGCTGTGACAGGCACACGGACACTGTCTGAGGCTGCTGCTCTTGGAGCAGTGGTGGTTTGGGGTTGTCCAAGGCTCATTCCTGTCTCTTTCCTCCCCAGCTCTCATCGCAGGAGGAGCAGTGGGTCTCCTGTTTGCCATCTTCCTGATCCTGCTCTTGGTCTATCGCATGAAGAAAAAGGACGAGGGCAGTTACGACCTGGGCAAGAAACCCATCTACAAGAAGGCCCCCACAAATGAGTTCTATGCCTAAAGCTCAGCAGCACCTTGTGCCCATCAAGGGACAAGCAGACTGTACTGAAACACTGTGCCCTCAGATGAGATGTGCTGAACAAATGCTTTTTTTTTTAAATTTTTTGGATTGAATTTCAAAGTGACTTTGAGAAAAAACAAACTTCCTTCGTGACCCTTCCCATCCCACTCAGCTAACAAGGGCCCAATGAAATACAAAGAGTCTGAAAAAAAACCTCAGTGTATTTTTTTTTCCATAAGTTAGCGTAAAAAGAGTAAAGATGCCAAATTTTCTGCTTGGTTTTATGGAGGCTATATAAACACAAACCAGACTGTATGGAAGCAAACACCATGTGTTTGCATCCAGCGTGCTGTCCTGGGATTGGCTGCTTCCATAGAAGATGGCTTTTTTTTTTTTTTTTAATATAAATCTTGCTACTAGATGTCTTGCAGCAGGCTGTTGATGTGAAGCATTTTTGTGGAGAACTATTTATGAATCTCTTACACTACAGATAATGTTGCCTTATCAGGGAGTAAAAGGCCCACGAGGGCTCCGTATCCCTGAATGCCACAAAGGGCCTATGGGAATGTCCTCCCCAGGAGATTTCTGTCCTTTCCTGTTGGCCCCAGGCAAGGGTCATTAGTCCTTGAAATCAGGACAGCCAGTTGTGTTTGGCTATGGCAACACCCTTTCCTTGCCTTCAGTCTCTTACCTTTTTTTAAGGATGGCTTGTAGGACTTTTTTTATAACAAAATTTTAAAGAAAATAGCCTAATGTTTATATAAAGTTTGTAGAAATTGTTTTGAAATAATAAAAAAAATAATCTACTTTTTTAATTTCCTCAGATTTATTTTTTCAATCCCTTTGTGTTTCCTTTGGCCGGGCATTTCTCTAGAGATGCTGTTTTATATGATTCCTATTCTGAACTGAAGCAGAGTTAGCTACAGAGTGTTACAGGTTTCTTCTAGTTCTACAGCAGCTACTATAGAGGGTAAAGATATTTATGGTTTTCTCATAACTTTTCTAGGATTTTTTAAAATAAAATAGAATTATTTATAGTTTCTGAAATGGCTGCTTTCTCATTTGGTAACTTTTATCCTTTTTATGTAAAACACTAATATAATGAGTCTCTGTGAAAACTATTTAAGCTTTATTCTGTGAATTTCAATTACAAATTCAAGGCAATAACTTCTGTATGCAAAGTTGGATGCATAAATATGATTGAAGTAGGGAAAAGACAGGAGTAATCCTAGGCTGTAATATATTTCAATCAGTCCTATAGAGCTATATATTATATATTTTACTGAGATATATACAGATGAGAATGAAAAGGCTGGAGTTAATTCTTCAGCAGCCTTATGGTGTGGTGTGTAAGAGGCTTTTTGATCTTGTTTGTGCTGCTGTTTGTCCAATGTCTTGTGTGGAGCACCAGGGGCTTGGGAAGGAGCCTGGGGCATCCATGGCTGTGGCCAGATGTGCTGGGCTGGAAGCACAGAATCAGAGCAGAGGTTCCCACCTCCAGCTGCCCTTGGGAGCTTCAGTGTGGAGGTGACAATTTTCTGTCCCCTGTGGTGCTGTGCCAAGCCCTGCCTCAGGGAAGGTTGGGTCTGACCTCTGCCTGGGTGGCATCTCCCATTGGGAAGCACCAAGCTTTCATTGGGGCAGGCTCTGAGCTCCCCTGCTCTGGGTCTTTAACCTCCCCTGAGGGTGGGAGCAGCCCCCAGTCCCCAGAGCAGAGGGTGATGTGTGCCTGGTGCCGGGAAGCTGTTACAGAACCATGAGCAAGCTGGGTCCTCCTGCATCTCCCAGTCTGACGTGGTGTGAGACGAAAATCTGTGTGTGGCTCCCCAGACTGAGCACCTGAGCAGGCAGCACTGAGCCAGCCAGTTGCAAAGGCTGGTTAGAAATCTTCATGGCTCCTGAAAGCTCCTTCCTGAGGCTTTGCTGTGGGCTTGAGGCCAAATCCAGAGAGGAGATAGAATAAAATGTGTCCCCTTGTCAGGGTGAGGCAGGAATGTGTGTTGAGACATCAGGGCAGAGGAGAGATCCTCCTCTGGGTGACTCAGTCCCAGTGTGAGTGTTTTTGGGAAACTGGGGGCTCTGGGAGGCTCTCAAAGCTGCACAGAGTTCACAGGAGGCTGGAAAGGAGAGGGAGGGCTGTACTGCCTGTGGACAGCACTGCCAGGCAGGCAGGAGCTGTGGCTGCTTCTCGGGATATTCACATTCTCTTGTGTAATTGCTCTTGGGGATTTTCCACTGTTACTGGTTTTGTTGTTTTTTTGTTTTTTTGTTTGTTTTTTTTTTCCCCCTCAAATAAATGGTACTTTCTAAAACTGGCTTTTTGGACTGTTTCTGATCTGAAATTACTTTTGGGAGCCGGATAACTGGGAGCTAAATGTTTGTGTAACTGCTTGGTTACTGAAGGGGGAGGCAGGCTGGGACCTGGCCTGCAGCTCAAAGGGGCTTTGTCAGCAGCTCCTGAGCTGCCTGCAGTGCTCAGCCATGCAGGATTCTCAGAGCAGCAGCAGCCCTGGGTCTCTGCTCAGGTGAAGCAGGCACAGCACAGTGCCATGGGGTGAGTGTCCTTCTCCTGATCAGTTTAGTGATGGCACTTGGAGAACGTTGTCCCCTTGTCATCAGGAGGGGCAGAGGGAGGTAGAAGGCACATCCCCTGTGCCTGTCCCCTGAAATGAAAGCAGTGCACTGGCTGTTTTGCTTAATCAAGTTTCAAGCCAACCCTGTTTAACCAATGCAGGGTGCAGAGCTGATCAGCTGCTCTGGGAGCAAGTCCACAGTGATTTCATGCTGTTTGGGGTTAAACAGCTGCACTTTCAGGCAGGAGGAATCCGCCAGCAGTTCATCCAAGCTCCCCTGCTCTGCCAGCTTGATGCTCTCAATGGACAGGGCTCACCTCTCCCTGGCAGGTGGGAGAGCAGGGGCTGCTCACTGGGAACAGTGCTGAGGCTCCTCACTAGTGCTGCATTTAAATGGATTATCATCCTCGAGAAAATCTAATTCCCTTCTCCCCGGTGGGAATTCCTGCTCCAGGTGCTTTGGATTAGCACGGACAGAGGAAACAAATTGGGACTGGCACTCAGGGTGAGGGAGCAGCACGTGCTCCTCTGCTCCTTGCTTCCTGCCCTGTGCCAGGTGTGCTCTCAGGTGCTCTGGGAGTCTCCTGCAGTGCCAAGAAAAGCAGAGCCCTGTGCTCCCAGGGCCCTGCAGTGCCCATGGGAGCTGCTGTTTGTCAGCACATGGCTGACGTACCCTGCCAGCTCCATGTTCTCCTGCCTCTGACAGCTTCTTGGAAGTGCTGCTGCTTGGAACAACCTACGTTTGTCACTTTTTGTTGTTTTTTTTTTTTTTTATTTAGCTTTTCCCTTTCTTTCTCTCCTGGGCTTCGTCTCTTAGTTGCAAGAATGCTGTGTACTTTCCAAAACTGCCCTCGCTCTGCGTAGAAGTGCCTTGTTTTTGCAAAGCAATCTGGATGGGCGGCCTGCAAATCCCCAGAGCTCCAGCCTGGCTGCCTGCCTGTCCCTGCAGAGCCCCAGCTCCTGAGATGGATTTGTCACCATTCCCTCCATCTGCCTTCCTGCCCTTCCAGCCAGCCTGCCTGTACCTGGTTATGTGCTGAGAGGCACCAGCACTGTGGCAATTCCTGGTCTTCATCTCTGACCTCACAGATGGCAATTTTTGGGTCTTCTTCTTAGTGCTGGTCTGATTTCAAAACCAAAAGACTGAGGATCTTTGTCTGTCTTAAAAATAGCTGGAAGCCTCCCAGGTAGTGATGTGATTGAGCATCCGGGGAAGGTCTGTCATTCCCAAGTGCTCCCTGAATGAGGGACATGGAGGAGCTGGAAAATGAGGTGTAACCTTGCTGACCTTTATGGCTTCCAGGGGGTTTTGAGGTGATGTTTGTGGGTGTTTGGGTCCCTTGTTTTGCAGTGTGAGCTTGGGCTGTGTGCCAAAGGTGCCAAAATGGCTCACAGCAGTGATGTGCTGGTGATTGTGTCTGTCCCCAACATCTGGAACCTGCAGAGTCTGGGAGGGCACAATTCCTGCGGCCTGGAGATGTGGTGTTTGCCATGAGCATCCCATGACCCTCCCCAGCCCCCTGGGTGCTGAGCCAGGTGCACAGCTGGGCACCCTGTGGCAGGACACCGTGACATCCCCTGGCCCACCCGATATCCCGGTTCCTCCCCATCATCTTGACTACTCCAGTTATCCCGGTTCCCTCCTTCATTATCCCTATTCCCTCCCCCCCCCCTTTATCCGCCTCCCCTCATTATCCTGGTTGCCCCCGTTATCTCGGTTCCATTATCCTGGCTCTGCCTGATATCACGGTTCCCCCCTTATCCCTGTCCCCCCCCCGTTATGCTGGTTCCCCCCGTTATCCCTCCCCATTATCCCCGTTCCCCCCGTTATCCCTCCCCGTTATCCCTGTCCCCCCCCCCCACGTTATCCCAGTGCCCCCTGTTATCCCGGCTCCCCCCGTTATCCCTGTTCCCCTCCCGTTATCCCGGTTCCCCTCCGTTATCTCTGTCCCACCGTGATCCCGGTTCCCCGTTATCCCAGTTCCCCCCGTTATCCCGCTCCCCTGTTATCCCTTTTCCTCCTGTTATCCCGGTTCCCCCTCCGTTATCCCGATTCCCCTCGTTATCCCGTTTCCCCCGTTATCCCTTTTCCCCCCGTTATCCCGGTTCCTCCCCGTTATCCCCGTTCCCCCCTGTTATCCCGGTTCCCCCCGGTTATCCCTCCCCGTTATCCCGGTTCTCCCCCGTTATCCCGTCCCGCTCCCCGCGTGTCTGCTGCCGCCTCCTGGGCACGCCCGGTACTGCAGGGCCCGCTGCCCGCGGCTCTGCCCCGGTCCCGCTGCCTCCCAAACCCAAGGGCACTTTTGGGGGCCTTCCCCCGGCTCCCAAACCCAAGGGCACCTTTAGGGGCCTTCCCCTGGCTCCCAAACCCAAGGGCACCTTTAAGAACCTTCCTGCTGCCGTCCACCGCCAAGGGCTCCTTTAGGGGGCTTCCTGCTGGCTCCCACAGCCAAGGGGACCTTTAGGGGCCGTCTCTGCTGGTTACAGGCTGCCCGACCTGCCCCGCTGTGGGTGGGAATTCTGTGATCTCACTAATGGTGATGAATCCTGCTGGATGCAGGAGTTTGTCCTTTCCTGTTTTCTTTGTTCCCCTTTCCTCCCTTCTTCCCCCCTTTTTTTTCCCTCCTCTCTGCCTTCCCCCCTGCCCCATTCCGCCCGTGGGGTTGGCCATGGGCAGGGATGGATACAAGTCCCATGGATGTCCCCATGGACGTCCCCATGGATTTCCCTTTATGTCCCCATGGGTGTCCCCATGGATGTCCCCATGATGTCCTCATGGCTCCGTGAAGGTCCTGGGTGCTGGGGGTGTCCCCGGCACACAAAAGGCACTGCCTGACCTGCAGGCCCTTCCCCTGCTGCCACAGTGTCTCCCCGCCAGGTCTGGGTGGGGTGGTGCCTTGGGGCATTTTGCCCAGTATTGGAGGGAAAAGACCTGGTTTATACTCCCAGGCTGGTTATTTTGGGAAGTGGGGGGTGCAGGAGCTGGTCTGGCTGCTTGAGGCACATGGAGGGGAACAATGGAGCCACTGTGCAGCCTCAGGCCCCGGCTCCGTCAGAAAGGTCCAGCGAGGGGTTTTCAGCACGTTCCTATTCCGCTGCTCAGGTATAATTACACCGGGAACAAAGAGCCCTTCAAACCCCCCAGCACAGCCCAGGGCTGTGGGCGCACACACACACACACACACACACACACACACACACACACACACACGTGTCGGTGCTCAGCGGGGTGTGAGGGGACAGTGACCATGCACACCCACCAAAACAGCCCAGCAGGGATGGTGACACTGGGCAGGGCTTGGGAACAAACCCTGGAGCATCCCCAGCTTCCTTGGGAGCCACAGCTGCAGTGGGGAGGCTCCTCTGCCACAGCCACACTCCTGGTGAGCACCCCGAGGCAGAAAGCAAAGAGCAAATCCCACCCTGCCTCTTGGCACCCACCCTGCTCTTGCTGTTCATTTATGAAGTGCCTTTCCTTCTGCCTCTGGCCAAATCTGCTGCAGAAGCAAGGGGCAGCAGTGGGGCAGCTGGGGCTTCACCCCTAAGCTGTCCCAGCCCACACCAGCCAGAGAACGAGGTTTGATTTAGCAGGGGGTCCTTGCAGGCAGCACCACCATGCAGCTGGGTGCCAGTGTGCTCCACGCATGGCTGTCACAGACATCTTTTATGGAAAATCCTTTCCTTAGGATTTTTCCTCCTGAGAAGCTGGGAGGCCTCAGGAACAAAATGTAAACAATGATTATCTGCTGCTGTGGAATGCAACAGATGCATCTGTGATTGGCCCATGTTGGATGTTTCTAATTAATGGCCAATCACAGTCAGCTGGCTCAGACAGAGAGCCGAGCCACAAGCCTTTGTTATCATTTCTTCCTATTCTATTCTTAGCCAGCCTTCTGATGAAATCCTTTCTTCTACTCTTTTAGTATAGTTTTAATGTAATATATATAATAAAATAATAAATCAGCCTTCTGAAATATGGAGTCAGATCCTTGTCTCCTCCCTCAGCCTGAGACCCCTG